CAAATATCAAGGGGAAGACCGGACAAGCATGCCAGAGTTACAACACGACGAGGTCGCGAGACAGGTGCGGAGCCCCGGCACTTCTGACTGGGGAGAGCTCGTTCGCAGCTGAAAATGTGAAATAATATTCCATGGTGTATATGTGCCACATTTTTCCAATCCAGTCTATTATCAATGGGCATTTGGGTTGGTTCCAGGTCTTTGCTATTGTAAACAGTGCTGCAATGAACATTCGTGTACATGTGTCCTTATAGTAGAACGATTTATAGTCCTTTGGATATATACCCAGTAATGGGATTGCTGGGTCAAATGGGATTTCTATTTCTAAGGCCTTGAGGAATCGCCACACTGTCTTCCACAATGGTTGAACTAATTTACACTCCCACCAACAGTGTAAAAGTGTTCCTTTTTCTCCACATCCTCTCCAGCATCTGTTGTCTCCAGAAAATGAGAACACATGGACACAGAAAGGGGAGTACTAAACACTGGGGTCTATTGGGGGGAAAAGGGGAGGGGCAGTGGGAGGGGGAGGTAGGGAGGGATAGCCTGGGGAGAAATGCCAAATGTGGGTGAAGGGGAGAAGAAAAGCAAAGCACACTGCCATGTGTGTACCTACGCAACTGTCTCGCATGCTCTGCTCATGTACCCCAAAACCTATAATCAAATAAAAAATTAAAAAAAAAAAGAAAATGTGAAATAAAGTGGGAGGGGATGGTATTTTCACCGAATTTTTGAAGAGTAGAAAAAAATCAAGACAGATAAAAAGGAAAGGAAAGGGCATTCCTGGAAAAGAAAACGGAACATACAGAGGCAAGGAGGCTACAAAGTTCAGGCAACAGTAAAAATCTAACCAGATTGTGACGCTCTTGTGGATGCGTGATGGGGAATAACAGAAATTGAGCCTGGAAATGTAGCTGGTGATTAGCCACAGAGGAAATTATTGGAAAGACATGGGGTTCAGGACTTGACTCCCCAGGTACTGAGGAGTCATTGACAAGTTTTGGCACAGAAATGGTGCGATCATCACTGTGCTTCACAGTGATGTATAGGGTGGCTTGTGACACGTTAAGCTTGCAGTACAGCTGACCTAACTGGACCCATAAGAACCCAAGGTGGGGGGAAGGCAGAAACGAAACAAGGGCAAAACCAATCAGATTAGAAAGAAGAATATATTCTATCAATAGAAGCAAAAGACATTAGTGGCAGACTGAATGTCATGACAGCCAGGTGTTCAACCTGGGTGACAAGATAGGAGTCATTAGGAATGCAGGGTTTAACAATGGGAGGCTAATCCATAATCCCAACACTTTGGGAGGTTAAGGTGAGAGAATCGCTGGAGCCCAGGAGTTCAAGACTAGCCTGGGCAACAAAGCCACCTCTACAAAAAATTAAAATGATTAGATGGGCATGGTGATACCCGCCCTGTGGTCCCAGCTATACAGAAAGCTGATGCAGGAGGATGGCCTGATCCCAGGAGGCCAGGGCTGCAGTGAGCCATGTTGACACCACTGCACTCCAGCCTGGGTGACAGCAAGACCCTGTCCCAAAAAACAAACAAAACAACAGGAGAATTGAAAAGAGTCACAGATAAATAGTATGTGGCGGAATATTTTGTTTACAAAACACCATGTTCATACCCCTCAAATGTAGACTTCCTAAAAATGTATTTGTCTAGAACATCTGGTGAATAAAAAAAATTTTTCAGACATGAGCCTCCGATAATTTTCAGTAGTTGAAAATCCTGGTGGTTGTCTTGGTTTGGTAACAATTCCTCCCAATTCTCATTAAAAATCATGCGGAAAAAAAAGAGGGCTAAATTAGAATTTCACAGCTATCAGGGACCTCGTAAAGCATGGGCCAACTCCGCATCTTCTAGAAGAAGAAACTGAAGCACAATTACTGTAAAAAACGCAACTTGCTCAGAGCAACATGTGTAGCCAGTAGAGAATTTAAGTCTCAAACCCAGGTCTCTAAACGTCTAGCGCATTGCTATCTGTGGAGCAGGGCACTGCTTCTCCTTGGAAAGTCTGGGCAGTGTTCCATCTCCACTACACTCCTTCTACTGTCTTTTCTTCGGTGTTTCCCCAGACGAGTTCCTGAGAACACTAACAACCTACCTCTAAATTTTTCCCTCTTTACTCTCTCATAGGCCTCCTAACCATGTCCTTAAAAAGAAATAGATGAAGGAAATAATTTTGTCATATTGACTGTTCTCATTCCAGAATGTCAAGAAGAATAAAAACACAGTAATAGGTGAAAATAGCTCACAAAAGAGAACAATTTATGCTACATGGCATCTTCAGAACAAGTCTGAAAAGTATAGTTAGGTAACGGCTCTGACCTATAGGGTGCAAACTTCAGGATTCCTGGGGGAAGGACGCAAGGTTATTTTGTATTACTAGAAGGTACTGTATTATATTAAATCATATCTATGCAGCCAAAAAGAACATTAAATAATCATGCTTGTTGATTTATCCAGGGATTGGGGCTTGTTAAACAGGCAAAAGCTGTTATCTTGATCCCAGAATGGACAGAAATGAGTATGACTCATCTATTTTGAATGTCAGCACATCATGAATTCACCAATATGACATGACAACAGAGAGATCAAAGTAGTTACCTATGGATTATAATTCCTTCGAAAGCCATTGCAGCTCCTCCAATTTCCAACAACGCACTTTTTCCCTAAGAAGCAATGTATTCTTTAAAATTGCTTCTATGCCCCTCTTTTCATGCCTGTGCAGACCCAGCCATGGAGCAACGTAGGCTGGACACTACTAACCAGATGCCAGGCTGTGTCTGTGAATTTATACATGTTCCCTCATTTAGTCCTCATAACTATGAGGCAGGCACATTTTCAAGACCAGAAACACAAGTTGAAAGGAATTAATGCCACACAGTGTCAGAGAAAAAATCAGAAATCAACCCAAGTTTATCTGCTGCCAAATTTTATGATCTTAACCATGGTGTCCTTCTCCCACTTCAGCTCAGATGTGAACAAAATATTTCTATGAGTAGAATGTACTCATATGCTAGAACACTGTCTGTGAAAGAAGGTAAAGGATGTGAAGGGGATGTCAGAAACCCATGCTTGGCCCCCTTTCATTGTCAAAGTGAGTTGTAGCTTTCTAGTTTCAACTTGGGTTACAATAATGGCTCTCCTGGCCTCTATAACTGATCTCAGTGAGGCAGTAGAATGTTCATTCTTCAGTGTTCTACAAGGTAAATTCTGATGTTCAAATATTTATTGTCACATCACTGCCTTCATCAGAAACCATTTAAAATGGTGGCTGGAATCTTCTTAGAAAAGTCTAATCAGTCATCCAAAGAACTCAGACTCTTACTCCCCTTTATCTGAGCCGGAACTAATCCCCAAGTTCTGGCTGCTCCAAAGGCCTTGTCTGTATTGATGCTGTATCTTGTATCAGAGCTTGAAAAATCTTAATTATTACAGTTTTCTGTATGGATCCTTTATGTCCTCTGCTATTTTACTACCTAAGGAGTTTGACACAATTTAATAGCTTTTAAATAGCACCCAAACCAAACGAAAGCTCTTCTATAAATCAAAGGTGCCATCCAAAAGGAAAATCTGAAGTTGGAAACAATTCACAGCTGCAGAGAAAGTCTAACACTGTGTAGACTTTCGCATTCAGTGGACTAACAGTTGCTGTATGTCGAATTCCTCTGACAGTAAATAACATCTAAGGAATCTTATCCAGGAGAACCATGGTGAGTCCATACTTACATAATTCACCTTCAGCTGCTTGGCACATAATAAGCACTTCACAAGAATCAGTAAATGAATGTTTTTCCATCCATTGCTTTCATTGTTAGAGCATAAAGCACAGTATCCAATACAAAAAATATTGAGTATAATAGTGTACATTCACTTTGCTTCAGTAGGCCCCAAATAAAAGAAAGCACATTTTCAAGCAAGATAAACAAACAAAAAATGTCTTTGTTTTGAAAAAAGGTTCACTGCAGTATCTTTATAATTACATATTTTGATGAATAATTAAATCCAACCCAATTAACAAAAATGACATCCTCATGCAGCTTTCAGGAAGTTACATAAAGTGAGACCACTTTTAAGTCCACCTAGCCACCTTCCTCAAAAAAAAACTTTAGAAAGCCCACAGTAATTCCAGACTTGCCTTCTTCTCCTCTCTGCTCCCCTATACATACTTGTCCTGCATTCTTTGGGCTAGTTTGTGCGTGTGTGTGTGCGTGTGTGTGTGCGTGTGTGTGTGAACATCAGAAAAGTGTCAACTCTACCAGGAAAACTCCTTATTCCACAAACCAAGAAACATCTCTGTCACTAAATTATTTCATTGTACTATCATTGTGTATTTATATGTCTTTTATTCAACTAAAATTCTTTTCTTAAACAAAAAAAAAGCATCTTAATCGGCTCTATTTCTGTGCTAAATCTGGAACAGAGTATGTTCTCAATAAATATTTATGTAATGAATGAATGTATTACAGATATAAAAACTTACAGATTTTAGGATGTGGCTGGTGGTCACACAGAAGTAAATTTAATCTGAAAGTGTAAGTGGAAGCGGTGGATCTTAAATAGACCCACAACAGCTTGATGACTTTGATGTAGCCTGGTGGAAGGATGCACAGAAAACTGTAGATAAGAGAGGAGGCATGACTCCAACCTCGGTACTTGCAAAGGAATTCCGAATGATGAGGATCATTTGCTGGGAGGTAGTAGAGATCATGAACACAGGTGCAAGGACAGGGAATAATACAAAAATAATTTAAAAGGTTTGTCCTCTTGGTCAAGATCTTGTCTCTGATCTAAACCTAGACCATGGAAGCTCTTACTAGGCACCACCACACTGTTATCACCCATGCCCTGTGAGTACTGCAGAACAGTTATCTCTCATATGAACTCTTCAGTGCCATGCAGGACTGAGCATCTATTGCCAAAAGCATGAACAGACTCCTTTGACAGGAGATGTCGCAGAAGGCTCTCAGGGGCCATCTCTTACCTGCTGGTTCTGATAGGCTGTCACTGTGGTGAACACAGTCTCAGGAAAGTTGAACGTTTTCACCCCATCCCCAACAGGAACAGGCTTAGTGGGTGAAAGGTCGCTGCTGAAGTCTTTGCGAATCACGTGAACTCGAGGCTGGTATTTGTGCATAGAGTGCAGAATGATCTGAAATAAAAGGGGAATTGTGCCAGGCTTGGCTTTAAAGAACCTACATTTTGCTCTCGTGCAGATAAATCACTAAGCAGAAGCACTATAGGAGAAGCATAGATCGAAGGTGAGATGTACAGAAATCAGTATACTTGCCCAGCAAGGACTAAGTGACTGACTAGCATTACATGGAACCAAATAGCAGGGCATCCTTATCATGGATGGTAGATATAATATGCTGGCTTGAAATGGCTAATGCTGAATGACTACTCTAGTACTAATGGACAACACTTCATTAAAAGGTCTCAGAACCTCTGCCATGTGACAAGTTGTTCCCTCCAGCTTCAAGTTTTCAGCATGTGTTCAAGCTGTCTTTTAAATTCCACATCCTACTATGCGTTCACTATTAGACACGTGAACATTATTTTATGTTACGTGAGAGTAAATGGTAGATACGGGTTTTCACACCTTCAGAAAATTGTTTCCTTGAAGGTGGAAGCGATGGTTTTAGCTTATTCAATTTTCCCACAGCACCCACTATGCGTCCTACCACTCAGTTGAAATTCAGTATGTGTTTCACTGCCAAAGATAAATTAATAACATCACATGCTCTAATTATATCTGGAAAGTCTTAAGATTTCATGTTCCCTATAAATTCATAAATTTCTTGACAAATTAGCTGAAATTGTCATTCACTTGCTTCTCTTGTTTTATTACTTGCGGGTTATTCGAATGTTGTGATTTCTTTGACCACTGGTTAATTTGTCCTGTTCCTCTGTCTTGCCTCCTGGACTGGACAGCAAGCCTCTGGAGTACAAGGACTTTATCTGATAAACACAACCTGATGCATAACAGATGTTTGCTAAATGTTAGATTTGTAACAAATGGAATTTAACTGGAAAAAAAACCCACTTTTATGCTTACTTACTTAAAATGACTTAAAGTGGCACAGAAATTCTTATTTCACCTATTTGAAAAAGCCTGGGGCTAGCCAGCTCTAAAGCAAACCAGGGAAGAGAGAAAGAAAGGGGAAATGGGATTCCTCGACTCACATGTCCTTGATCATCCAATTCATTGTTGGTGAGCTTGAGTTTGTCGAAGCTGACCACCTGTCTCATCCAGGTGTCTCCAGAAGCTAGAGAATCAGGGTGTATATAAACTCTTGGGGGCACAGGGGAATCAGCATTGCCAGCCACCATCCACTTGGAGCTGTGATACACATATCTGAGATAAAGAGGAAGAGAGGGGAATTCAGAGACAGAGGCAGAGAAGGGACAGTGGCCCAGGAAACAAGTTGAGACAAGGAAGAAGAGAGAAAAACAAAGAGATGACACGAATGGAGAAGTGATGGGAAAGAAACAGAGAATCAGTGGAGGAGAAGAGAAGGGTGGATAACCAGGAAATTGAAATAGAGACAGAAATGGACAAAAATATGGAGTGGGAGAGCAGAGAAATATTGTGGTTAATGATCAAGTCTACAGCCCTCGCAAGGAAAACATTCTCACAGTCCTCTTTCTTTCTTCCCTCTCTCCATGCCATGCACCCCTGTGTGCACACAGGCATCCTGAACTCACATGTCTAGCTATAGAAAAGGCATTTTACTGCAACCTTTCACCTTTCAAATGCAAACCATATAATCCCTTGGCCATTTGTTCAGGATTTTGTTCCTTATTAAAAACATCTTCCATATTGTCCTATAAAATGCAGCCATGTGCAGAGCCCTTCCAAGTCTCTCAACGGTTAACCATTTCCTTGCTGAGAGTCTGGACTTTGAGGCATTTCTGTGATGGGCCTTTGCCTCACTGCAGCCATTCCAGAAACAATGCCAAATACCCCCAGTTAACCATTTCCTTGCTTAGAGTCTGGACTTTGAGGCATTTCTGTGATGGGCCTTTGCCTCACTGCAGCCATTCCAGAAACAATGCCAATTACCCCCAGTTCACATTGTCTTTGGTGAACCCATTTTGAATATCGTCCTCTACATTATTTTCCCACAATGTCACTGGAAGCAGGACGTTGTTTGGTAGCAAAGGAAGTCCGTTTTCCCAACTTGGCCAATTTTCTTAGTTCAGAAGAAATAGCTCCATGGATCTGGCACTTCCCTGCTTCTCAGTTCTAAAGGACCACATGGGACCTGCACCCTGAGAAATAGAGGCACTCAGTCCGAATCACAACTCCCAAAATCCTCTAAAATGAGCTGGAAGCATCTTTTCTCCTAAGTTTTGAAATGCAGACTGTGTCTCTCTCAGCCAGCTCTCTCCCTGCTTGCCATTCTAGTCCTGGCCTTTTTCATCAACTGTTGCCTCCAAATTCATGGGTTTAGGGCCAAGTTCTCAGACTTTAGATATTTCAAAAGTGAGTAATGACTTAATGATTTGAGTGAGATCTCAAGAGAACAAATAAGCCATAACTATTTTTTTCTGGCAAGAACTATGTATAAGCCATCCAAGATACACAAGGATTACGTTGGCTTTTAATCAGTTTCAGGGAAAATTACTTTAAAAATTCACTTACAACCCATATCAATGAATAATAATTCTCCCTAAGTAGATATTCTTCTTAAAATTTTACCCAATTCTCCTATTCTCCCTCTCCATCATCTACGGGGTGATCCATCAAATAATCATTTTAATGTGCTTCGTTGTTCCACCTCACCTTCCTCTCTCCAAAATAAATCACCTCCATTCATTTAGCATTTCACAAACCAAATTATTTAATATGCTAATCACTTTCAACATTAGTTTAATTAATTTTAGACTTAAGATCCACTTGATTTTTGCTACCTGTGGGGCACTATAAAATCCCATTCTGTGCAGGTACATAGCGGGGAATCCCGGACCAAAATTAACACTTTCACCTGGTTCTCTGACATATTCTCCATTCCTTGTTCCCTGTACAGTATGCATTGTTGAAATATTTCCTCTAAGGAGTCTGAAGAACTGTCTGGGAATGCTGGTGATACCCACGTTTCCAAATCCCAGAGTTGCTGTTACCTGTATCTTTTATTGTCCACAGGCACAATGTCCATTGCTATGTAGTACTGCTGATGGGGATCTAGGCCAGTGATTTTCACTCTCATGGCAGGAAACATCCTCCTATGAAAAGGAGTAAAACAGAAAGCTCGGAAATCAGAGTGGGAGAAGTAGCAGAGGTGAATGCTTAATGTACTCTTAATAGGTGCTCTAAGCATATCGGATTCCAGTGTTCTCTAATTCTCAAAGTTGGCTAATATTTTCCACTCTGGAAATTGCCACTATGAAATATACTGGAGACTTACGCTACTGACATGGTATCTCTTAAGTTAAATTGATCTACTTGATGATTCATACTCTCCAAGGGTTCATGTCACACCCTGTTTTGTATTTTTAGTTAATGTTTCTTATGATATATATGTATGCATAGACATGTGTGTGTAGCCACGCATACATTTCCTATTAGCTATAATCTTTTTAAAGGTAAGTACAGCAACTTATACTCTTGTTACAATCCAAAGAGCTTTTCGGTTTATTGCAAGTGATCGTAAAATATCTTCAACTGAGTTTATCTAAAAACAACCACTCTAAAAATATTCTCTCAAGAAAAAAAAAAAAAAAGGAAGGTGCTACCAGTCTCCAAACAAATAGCCACCAAGATTTTGATGCATAAAACTGTAGAAAATTTTCTGCAAGTTCTCAGGCTGTCAACGTGTATGTCAGAGGAAGGACTCTGTGGAATTGGGAGCGAATACCACATGAATTCTAGTGGCCTCTGGGAAATACCTTGCTTCTACCACAATGGCTTGTTAAACGTACCAAAGCAAGTGAGGTCAGGATATAGCACTTTACAACTTCTCTCATAACTGAAGAGAGGAGGAGACAGAGCAGCCCAAAAGAGGTATTGAGTTTCCACAAGTCTAGAATAAAGTTCACCATTCTTCTTTAACCATAAGAAAGAAGAAAAACATCAAGTTCAAGCTCTTTTGTGTCAAACCAGACATAAAAAGTCCTCAGTTCAAAAAATTGGATTGCTCTGAATGTGCTCTAGGCTACTTGTATACAAAACGCTGCATTAAGCTTAACCATCTGGGGCTAGTTAGTTGAGCTGGGCAGAGCACAGTGCTAATGAGGTCAAGGTCACAGGCTTGATCCACATACGGCCTAATTGGCTTTGCTCCATTTCATGGCCATAGACCATATCCTGACCCCAGACAGCCATCTTGCTAATATGCAGTGGTGGGTCACAGGAGAGGCTCTCTGTGCCAGTTACACACTCACTACTCATCCAGGGAGAGTGTAACATCCCGTGGCAATAGGTCAGTAACATTATAATGATATCTGAGGGAACGCACAAGAGGGATCACAGTCCTTTAATAGAGATGGTGGCTAATTCTTAAATAGTTAAAAAATTAATACATAACTATTTCATCTTTCTCCACCATATTGCTCTTCAGAAGCTTCTGTGTGTATATCATTTAAAATTTTCTCCCCCTACCCTCACAGTTTTCATTTAAAAGCCTCATACTTTTGTCTTATGGTGGGCTAATTAAATCTGATCATAGAATACTCATAATGACTAAATCTAACATTCACTATAGGTTAGACACTTTAATTCACATTAATTCTTTCCAAAAATTTTGGAACCTTAATCTACACATTGAAATACAGATCGGTAATTCCCTTTTTAATAACACTGATTTATAGCTTTCCTGTATATGTAAATGTTTGAAGGGCATCTTGCCAGAGATGAGGCAAACGTCCTCTCACTTACTACCTGAGATAAGAAAATATGGTTCTCCCCAGTCACCTACAGAGCCTGGATTACATTAATGAGACAGATTTCTTTTCTTCATAACTTTACAAAAAACAGGGTTAGGTGTTTTTAATTCAACATCTGTTTTTTCTGGAACAGATATATGCCCTTGAATGGGGAAGCTACCCATCTCTATAGGCTTCTTTTCTTTATGTCTTTACAAAAAAGGAGGTTAGATGTTTTTAATTCAGTATCTGTTTTGTCTGGAACCGTTATATGACCTTGAATGGAGAAGGTACCCATCTCTTTCCAGGACCCAACTTCTAAAATGAATGAACAATGTGACCTTGGATAAGTCATTTAACTTCATCACCTATAAAGCAAAGGAAACAGACTACATATTCTTCTACAGGGCCCTCCTGCTTTAAAATGCTACGACTACCTTTGAATTCTGTTCTTAAAAACTTTGCAAGCATTGTTTTCTTTTTGTCAGCATTTTAGCATAGACTATCAAGTGAAGCCACAACATCCTAGAGAAAACTTAATCTTTCATGTCTTACAAAAAGAGATATGTTTGGTTTTAATTTTATGGCTAAATTTAGGCCAGTTCTTTAGTCTTCTAAACCCAATAATCCTTGTAAGCACCTCTGTCCATGGTGCTGATTATGCAGGTTGGGTTGGTATACTCAAAGACTGAGGGCTCTGTAGATTTCAGTAGTTCCGAAATCAATAGGATTACATTTTGGTGGGTGGGGGGGAGGTAGATGCTGACTAATATCATCTAAAAGAAAAGAAAGCCATATATAACTAACATAACTAAGAAGATGGAGATTGGAATTAAAACGGAAAAGGATACCGACAATACTGTCTAGGAAGAAAAATGAGTGAGAAGCAAGAAATCAACCAGGAGAATGAGGAAGAATAAAGAAAATTCACAGAAGAGAAAGCCCTATTTGTATGTTTCTGGGTTGCTTCAGAATTATCTGAGAAGAATGATAGTAACAACAGTTGAAGCAACTGAATACAGAACTAATTGAAATCCTAAACAAAGGATTTCAATTATTACTAAAGAACAAAATGTATGTCTGTCTTGAGGTATATGTAGATTTATCCAGATATTAAGGTGGATTTGTGAAATCATAGATGTGTAAATGAAAATGCTGCAGAAGAAATGACAAAATGAGTCACAAGAGGGTTGTCAAGGAGAGGCTCAAATGAACTCAATTCACTGAAGCACAGGGAATAAGGGAGTGATATCAGGAACACACATGACTGTAATACATAAACAAAAGAGTAATAACATAAAAACCCAAAATGAAACTGGAAAATCTTATAAACAATTGTAATATGTCTCCTTTCTCCGAACCAACTCTTCTACCAAAAACAAAACAAACAAAAAGATTCCTTGAGTTACTTTGCTTTTTTCCCAAGCCTTAACACCCCAAAATGTGGAACAGAAGTATACTGAGACCCAAGCAACAAAAAAGATATGGTACTGAACATAATTACCTAGCCCAGCTGCTGCCCCTGGGAAGTCCTTAGTGGTTTTATTCACTACTGAGAGAAGAAACAGAGTTCCAGAAAGAAAGAAAATAAACAAAATTTCAGGTTTATTTTGACTTCATGTTTTTGTCATATCTTATTGTATTGGGAGGTTTCCTTATATGCACACAGATAAAGTGTACTCAATCAAAATATCATTTTACTTTAAATGGCTAAGTTCATAAAAAGAGCTCACAATCAGTAAGATGGGATTTTTGTTACCCATAACACGTGAGATTATGTACAATGGCCTTGAAAATACAAAAGTGGCATAATTGTTTTGCTTAATTTCAATGACCTATTTCTATATGCTGAACTGCTTAGTCCAAATTTATTTATTTATTTATCTATTTATTTTTATTTTTGAGACAGAGTCTCACTCTGTTGCCCAGGCTGGAGTGCAGTGGCATGATCTCAGCTCACTGCAACCTCTACCTTTCGGCTTCAAGCAATTCTGCCTCCGCCTTCCAAGTAGCTGGGATTACAGGCACATGCCACCACGCCTGGCTAATTTCTGTATTTTTAGTAGAGATGGGGTTTTGCCATGTTGGCCAGGCTGGTCTCAAACTCCTGACCTCAGGTGATCCACCCTCCTCAGCCTCCCAAAGTGCTGGGATTACAGGCATGAGCCACCGCGCCCGGCCCAAATTTAACTGTAGCTAAATTGTTTCATTTTGAATCCAAGGGGCAATAACTACAGCCATCTCTTAACAGTTCAGAGTTGAGAGCGCTGTTTTAGAGCCACTTGGATTGATGCAGAATTCTGGAGCTGCCTCTTAGTACCCACGTCGGTCAGCCAAGCTAACTAATGTCTTTCATCCTCTGCATCCTAATCCATGTATGGAATAATTATGTCCAACCTCATGGGATTCCTGTAAACTTTCAAAGTTTACAGGAGTGTTGAGTGTCCAGCTTTAAGAGAAACTGTGTTTTGAAAATTTTGTAATCCTAGAAAAACAGTTTTGCAAGAAATTCCATAGGTTACCATTAAAGTTGTGTAATAATTTCAAGCCAGTGATGACACACAATGGACCATCAATATGCTCAGAATATGCAACAAGCCAATTCTTTTAAAAAATTATTACAAAAGCATCGTTGCTTTAAGTACTTTAGAAGATGCAAGTTGTTATTTGGGAAGCAAACTTCTTGGAGGTATTTAATGGTGAAGTAAACACGTGCTTTGGAAATATGTATATTGGCTCTTAAGATACCGTGGATTTCCAGTACTAGCTGGAATACACTTGTAGGTAGAAAATGTTTGTGATTTATGTGATTTACATTTGATCGGCCCTTGAGGGAAAATTACGCAATCACAGCAAACACAACAGAACCACTTTACCAAGGTGTCCAAATGCAAAAAAGTGAGTGCAAGCTGCTTCGGTTTCATTGATACCGTCACAAATAAGAACGGAAGAATGTAATGGTTCCTGCTTCTGCAGACTCTTTGAATCTGACCACTTCGAGGAATTTGTCCTTACCTGCCTGCCTTGGTGATAATCATTTCAGTTCCAATATCATGGAACCGCTTCCAGAGGTCAGCACATTGAAGCTCTACTTGAATCTCCTCCATGGAAGACATGGCGGCAGGCACAGGGCCTGCAGTGCCAGCGGCCAGGTCAGGGTGAGTGCTGAAAGAGCAGGAAGTCCGCTCGGTGAGCACCTCAGAGTCTGAACCAGTGCTCTGCTCGGAATCTGCAAAATAAACAATCAAGCCCTAGGTGAGAAACTGCTGAGCTCCCCTCACCCCTGGCCCTAAAAGATGGGGATGGAAAATGCAGTGAAGTGGGGAGAGGGGTGAACAAAAGGAGACTTAAAGCTGGGAAGCTTCAGAGCACAGCACTCAGGGTATTTTATTATTTTTTATGGTTTGTTTTTGTGATTTATGACCTTCTTTCAGGTTTCGTGTTTCCAACATGACATCTGGCATTTTAGTAAGTTTTAGCAACAGCTGAAGAAAATTGGTCCACAACAGGCAATATAAATAGTACTAATGTCACCATGTGGAAGGGAATGAGGCCAAACCGGGGCAACAAAATAAATGCCAAATTAAACTAAAATAATTATAGATTATAGGTCCAAACCTAGATTAGACGACTTCATTTGTGTGAGTAAAGATTCAGTGCTAACAATGTACTCTTCAGTTCCACAGCACTCAGCATCGCTGCCTGCCAGTTAGTTTTAAACACAGAAAATTTCCCTCTGCTTACATAAGTCACGGCCATCAAAAGTAATGAAAAGCTTCTTGGGATCTTTAGAAGTATTTTGTCATATATTTGAGTAAATGGTTTTTCCTAAGAGTCTAATCAGGCCATTTCGGATGGGAAAAAAAACCTCTGTTGTGAGGCGAGGATGTAAGCATATGGAAAAAGTTACCCAAAAAGGCAGTTGAAACAAAGGGAATAAATGAGTTCAGGAGACACCTTGATTGGTTTCTGAAGTATGGGCAGAGGGGAGGGGTGATCCAAACAGGAAGGTGGGATTGAGAGCAACCAAATAAAAAGCTGGCGTGCTGGGCCAGATGGTCCTTTCCTGTGTCTTCTGTACTCGTGAAGAGAAGTGGGGCTGCGGGGGCAGGGGAAGCCAACGGATGGAGAAGGCTAGGGCCAGATTTAGCAGGGAAGATTTTCTGGAATTTTAAACATTTACCTTTAGGAGCTTGATGCCAAGAATTGAGTGTCCTAAAATTTTTCAAATTCAGATAATCTAGTATGATCTCCTTAATTCAAATGGTACTGCAGATCAAGCCTAAGAATCCATCTCTCTAACCTACCCTTAACATCCAGAATTCTGACTGCTTTCCTTGAAGATAAATATATACATGAGTAAAGTCTGGAAACAAGTGTTTTACTCTGACAAGTGACTTTTCCCTGCTGTCAAGGGTCAGAGCTTCTTGAGCATCAGTCCTTGGCACTAGTAAGATGGAAAAAGAATCAGGCAGAATGTCAAACCACCTTGCTGCCAACCTCACTTACCTGCGGCAGGTCTGCAGCCCTGTGAGCAATACATCCCATGTTTCCTTTACTGTTCTTTCCTTTGCTCACTGACTTTTTTCTCTTGCAACCCAGGCAGCATCTATGGCAAGAATATCTAACAGCTGTTTCAAAGCCACAGAAAGCAAAGTGCCCACAGGGGAAAAAGTGTGATTTCTCTACATCTTCCCAATTCCTCACCTGTCACTTGTGAAGACACTCAGGTGCTAAAGGACCGAACCAAACTTCTAAATAAAGGGCAAGTTTCTGACCAAAAACTTCAGTTTACCCATTATCACTACTTTAGTCACGATTTTCATTTCCCCTCCCCCTCTGTATTCCCCCCACCACCACTAAATAAAACAGCTATAAAGTTTTATAGCTAGGTTTTACATGTCTATGCACATAATTTTATACCTAGGACTAAGCAGCAGCTATTTTTGGTCTTCTCCAAGCACCGAAAAGTAGAAGTACTTATCTAAGACGAGAGCTGATGGAGAAGGCTAGGGCCAGATTTAGCAGGGAAGATTTTCTGGAATTTTAAACATTTACCTTTAGGAGCTTCATGCCAAGGATTGAGTGTCCTAAAATTTTTCAAATTCAGATAATCTAGCATAATCTCCTTAGGTCAAATGATACTGCAGGTCAAGCCTAAGAATCCATCTCTCTAACCTACCCTTAACATCCAGAATTCTGATTGCTTTCCTTGAAGATGAATATATACACGAGTATATATTACTGAGTGACAAATCTCTATCCTAATCTGATTCTATATGCCTTTCAGTAGCAGAGCCATTATATCATTACACACTCAGTCAAATACACTAATTCATGCCCCCTGAGACACGGATTCCCAAATCCTATTTTGTTTCTGGGATATTCTAAGAGCTCCTCACTCACCATGGATATTGTAAATTTTCCAAAAATACTCCTCAAAACAAGATTTCTAAAATATGTTATTGTCCTGCCTTTGGAAGCAAAGAGCTATGAAATTCACCATAAAGTGCCACAATTACAAAAAAATTGGAAACAGACACCCTAAGTAGGATCCAGCAGAAATTATGGACATATGATTTCTCCAATGTATGTTTAGGAAGGGGACAGGGGAAGGAAAGGTATCACTACACTGTGAGATAAATATTTAATGGCAGCTAAACTGAGGTTGAGATTGGAATTGGGACTATGGCTGGAGAATTATGAAATAAGTGACTCAACCCTTAACTCACTATGTCATCTGGAACAAAACAGGGACTCAAAATGTAACATCAAATGGATTAATGAATAACCTTAGACAAGCCATTTAACCACAGGGGGCCTATGTCCTCAATGTGCAAGGAGAAAGAATGAACTTAAGGATTCTACCTCTAATGATCTGAATGTCAGAATCCTCCCCAGTACAAGTGCTAACCCAGGTAACCTCAATTAGAAGCATCAAATTTAAAACTCTTTGAACAAGACAAGTTAAATAAGGAAAAGGACTGGGGGCTCAGATTCACATTACCATAGGAGTTAAATAATTGAGTGAGTATTCTATAAGGGTTTATAGTTTCAATCAAATCAATCAATAAGCACCTATCAGCATATGGCCTTACATGAAGTACCATGCAGATAATTAGAAACAGAATCCAAGACCTTAAGAAGTTTCCCCGTTAGTGTTGATTAATTATGTGTTTATTAAGTGCTTACTATGTGCCCAGCACTGTGCTAGATTCTGGGAAATAACAAAGTACATAATGGGGCCCCTCTTTTAGTGCAGTACAGTGGAGACTAGGAGCATTCAAAAATAATCAGAAAGCAACACAAATAATTGCCACATGGTTTTCCACACCATCACATATTGTCTCGGATGACTCTTAAAAGTCCAGAACTGAAAGAGATCTAAGAGGGCTAGAACACTCCTGGGGAACCCATGCTTACTAGAAAAGAAATGGACAAGTCTGTGGGGGCATAGGCAGTATTTGTCCATGAAGAGGATTTTCAAACCCAGTTATTTATTTAACTGGAAATACCCTGAACTTCTAGATTTTCACTCTCTCACAAAATAGGATCCAGTGACTTTTATATACAGAATATAGACAACAGCCCACATGTGCAATAACATGAATGCACCATGCAATCTTCTATTCTCAATTATTTCTTAAATATTATAATCTTGAAATGAAATTACTGTTACTTTCACATAGGTTTTTTTTAAAGCTTCTAGAAGAGTAGGAGTGCTTGTGAGGTAAGCTACCCTACCATACCCTTAAAATAGTCATCTCAGAGTCAAGATTAACAGTCTAGGCAAAAATAAAATTTAATCCTTTGTAAAATACATTTTTAAATCATAGTTATAAAAAATATTTTGGCTAACCAGATCAAAATTTTTAGCTATTAATTATGATGTATAATCAAGTTATCTAAGTCATGAAAGAAACACACAGCTGGTTATTTTAATCAAATTGGATCATCCATTTAGAAATATAATCAGTCAGTCCCTTAAAGATCAAAAACACACCTCTGTGTTTTCAAGTTCATTTATTCTTGGCAATTTGTGACTTTCTGTCTTCAAAAAATAACCTTTAGGAACTCATATGAATGATGCAGAAGGATTTCTTAGCTATCAGATACTGTCAGAATGGTATTTCAACAGAAGGAGTTTAAGTAAATCAGGAACATAAAATGTTACACATAACCAAGGCAGCTACAGGAAAACTTAGGTAACCTATGCTGGGCCACTTACAAGTCACTGAAGAACACAGTGTAACTCACAGGGTCAAAGCAACATATTCTCATCCCAAAGAAAATCCTTTAAAAAGAGTTTAACCATAATTTTACTTTCTATCTCTGACCTATTTCACTTTGATAAAATGAATACTGTAATACTAAGTTTCTACAGAAAGTTGAATTTAGCTTAGAGTAAGTTCAATTCTCACACTAGAAATAATAATAAAACAATTTCTTAATTTATATCTCATACATTGCCTAATATTGTCTTCCCATTGATAAGGTAGACATCGCATGTATTTTTACGTCTATTTTATGGATAAGGACATTGAAAGAGAGGAATTGAAAACTAACACATACTAGAATGTAGGTCTTCTGCCTCCTGATCCAATGGTCAGGTCTCCCCAAAAGCGTACTAGGCTCAACCCAGCCAAAATAGCTGGCAATTCTGCAACACCCCTTAACTATTTTAACAATCCTCACAACTAAAGTGGCCTAATATGTCTGATCTTGGCCAAGTCACATGACTATTCAGGTCCCCAATTTCTTTAATCTTTATAGCACACTACATGCACATTTAATTAGAAGTGCTGTAAAGTCCCTTTTAACTCAAATGTTTAATGGACGGATTAGTAGCACAGCTTAGAGACCACCAAGTCTAACAAAAGCAAGCCAACTACAATAAATTTATTTGGTTATCATACACAGAAAATGCCTAAATTGCACATACTTTTATTCTAATAAAAACTTAATAACAAAATTAAGCATTCTGAAAGCATATTTTACAGTTCCGGCATCTCCACTTAACAGTTAATGTTAATTACTACAGTTAATTACTACAGTAAAGAAAGCACATTTACTCCTCTGGCTCTGCTACTGATCAGCAGTGGGATCTTTACAAGTTTCCTCATCTTTACTATAGGGTGATAATAAGGTATCTTTCTTTTCAAAAAAACAGTTTTATCTTTATGATAAGGCATAATGTAAAGGTTCTATTGATAATATTATTGACTTTGG